CATCCTTAGGGCGGGAAGATAAAGTTGGGTACGCTGAGCGTCCTGGTAGGCTTTATCGACCGATGGCTGGGGTATCTACTCGGTAGATAATAGAGGGAGACGCTTGTACGCCTCTCGGTAAAGTTCATGGAAAAACGGCAGCGTAGAGAAGCATGATAAGGGTCAAGTTCCAGAACGAATGACAGTTCAAGATGGAATCACGTCACGCTTAACTATTGGCAATGTGATCTGTCTGAGTCCCTTGCTGTCCAGCTACGGGAGGACGCCGAGTGGCACCTCAGTGCCTAAAGCTGCGCTAGCAAGAATCAACCAGTGTTCGGTGCACAGCAGCAGCAACGGGGCGTTCTCCTTTATCCTGAATACGGAATACTACTGAATACTGTATTATAGAGTAAGTAGAAATGGATTCCGTACAACTCTTTCGAAATATGGTGAAAAACGTTATAAAAGTATGTCAACCGTGAATATCATTGTCGTTCTCATGTAATATTTAAAATATTCGACTTACGATATTTCAGGATTCACAAATGTGATATGTCATCGTAAGTGTGCAGTCGTTCTCTGAATCGAATAGAGGCCAAAATGCAAATCTAACGACGCTTTGAACTGTTGCACAGATGTTGCCTCAATCACATGTTCGGGGCAAACTATTCCAAATGTTTACCACTCCGTTCGAAGCACAGTGGGTGGGGAACAGCTTTTCATATCCCGGCACGACAAGTTTATATCTGTGTTCGCGTGTGCTGCATGGCCCTCGTAAGTGCAGCATTGGCCTTAACATGGGGAACTCACCGAGATGTAGAATTCGGTAAGTCATAATGAGGTCGACTCGCCACCCGACGGTAGGACAAGGTGTAGAGTCCTATCAATTTCCACGAAATACTTCCAATGAACGCAGAAAGTCAACACAAAGTGATCTTGTCAACAGCCCAAAATAACCGACCGGAGGTCGCTATCCGTTCGGAATTAAGCTTATGCCCTCTAACTGCGTTGCTGAGGAGCTCAGATAACCTACTTGCGCGTTCATATCCCGTGAAACTAGAACGGTAGCGTGGTAGATGGTGTCTGGGAGCATCAGAACTGCATTCGTTGGGGGCATAAGCGACAAGCACAAACAAGTAACTACTACTATTACTTTGCGATTCAACCTTAGTTGATGCCATCAAACAGGCTGCACGCAAAAGGCTGCCCACGGGAATCTAATCAACTAGCGATGGTTCGTTCAGTCATAAAGTTGAGGAGAAGCCTACCCTAAGTTGACCAGCGGTTACCGCATCAGTGTCATTGAATGCGTGCAACCAACAAGAGGGATGCAGTTAGTTCAAAAACTGCTTGAGGGTCATTGGTTCTAGTTCCGGACACGTAGTATACGTCAATAGCCAGTGTCCTAGGTACGTGCAAGTGCAACCTGTTGACCTTATTCTTCTAGAGTGAGGGAAACGGAACGTGCCTTCATGGGGGCCGCTGCTGATTGCACTGCAGTGAGTAGTGCTGGAAGATAACCACAGATGGCAGAACTCCTGTGGTATTTCAGCCGCTGTCAGTTATGTTGGGAATTACAGAAGGTGAGTTCGTAATGGGGATCGGGAGAGGAGTAAGAGAAACGAGTGGGAAAGAAGGAAGGCATCAGTAATAGCCTGTTTTCCCTAGCCGCCGTGCTGTACCTAAAAGACAAGATGTCGAGTAACCTTCGAAAATTCAGAACGGTCTTGACAGAAATCACAATCAGTTACTCGAGAATCAAAAACTGTTTGTACTGTACACAAATGGAAGGCACTATTTCGTCTCGACTGCTTCACATTGGTGGATTCATTTTTGCATTTTTCGCCGTCTCTCTGTGTTTATGATCTGTACGGTCTGCTCGTTTCATCCACTTCTTCTTTGAATTATAATTGGGCGCGTCAGTTCACCTTTGTCTGTCTGACCAGCGCGGCTAAGGTTAACTGGCGTGGTTGACACCTGATTTGCTCGCTACCACAGCTATCTGTCGACATTGTATGTTCGGTGGACCGGTCGCTAACACGTCCTGCGAAGCTAATTTTGAATCGCTGGTATGCACGTTTTGTCCTTTCGCGGATGTCCCAGCTGAACCGCTGCGCCGTTGTTCGGGATAAGGCTGTACTTTGTTTCCTCCTGATTTATCTCTCTAGCTCGTCCAACGACTGATTGGTCTCATGTCGGTCTATACCGCATCGGTCATCGCTTAAACGACCAGCTGTTATAACCTAAAGAGACCCTTGTATAACTGCGCGATCACCACGGCAGGATGCGGTTGAAGTTTGAGAAAACAGTCATGGCTTCACATAGGCTGAGATACTTCCAGGACACGCAAACCTATACAGGAGAACAACTAGGGTCCTCAACAAAATGTATGGCTCAAAAGCTCGACCGCAAAAAAACGCGGTGGCAACGACCCAATTTTACAGAAATGAACGCCATCCTATTTCATATACCCAAGCTGGAGGGACAGGAAACTGAATTCGTCTGACCTCTAACCGTTGACCAAACTAGCTCTCAAGGAAACCGAAGGAAGCACCCAGTATAACTCAATGGTTTGAAAAGGTATTTAAACCGTCGCATCATGTTAATGTCACGGATTAGTTCGGCTTATGGAAGTATGACAGAGGCCAAGGTTATGCGAAGGTTTGGTGTTCACTGGGAACAACTGAGGGTATTTACATAGCTGTAGCAGCCCAGCTTCTTTATGTGTGAGATCCCACCACGTCCAGAAGAGTCACTAGATAGTTGCCAATTTGAACAATTAAATCGCCGGCGAGTAGTACGGTACATGCGGTTTGGTGCAGTATGACATAAAATTTATTGGGAGAAAAAATCATTGTTCACTGCGAACGTATGATTAAAAGCGTCGCATTTTACAAGAGTGAACTGGTGTCTGGGTGGCTTTGCACAATGAAAAAATATGCCAATAAACCTACTAAGCAGAAGACAGTTAATCAATGCCGTATTGTGTTGGAGGCTTACAACAATGTTCAAAATGGGCGGCCAGTTATCGGGTGGTATTAAGAAATCGCAATCTGCACACGTTGACAAGTATGAGAACGGGTGCTGGTAAGTGATATTAGTTGATCAGCTCAAAAATAGGCATGCTAGAGGATGGTGACCCGAAAAAGGATTGACACCTAGGATGGAGTAAAGGGGAATTTACTAATTAGCTTGGGATTAAGATGTAGTATACAAAGAACTCATCGCAATCAACTCGTAGACAGACATATTCCAATATATCGGGAAAAGTTTCAATAAAACGCAGTAAGCATCTAGTGTTTCTCCGGGTGCGTGGGTCCGTCTGGCTGGTGTTGATTGTGATGAGCAATTGATAAGGATGAGTTTGTCAAGCAGCGTGGAGCCAAATGGATTAACCCATTTGATAAACATTCGTGTTCAATAACTATAACTGTTTGTTTCTGTCAGTTGAGGTCATAACTGTGTTGTGTTTCCATTGACAACGATAAATGATACAGCTCTTAAAATCTCGATCAGCTACTTCTCAAATCAGAAGACCCCGTCAGAAGGCCTCGTCGACACCTTCAATTGAACACCAGGAAATACAGTGTTGGAAGAGAAAAAATGTGTCCAGGCATGTAGTTCGAGAGAAATAACCTAGAGAAAGATCCCGAGCTATCCAAAAATCCAAGATACAGAAAAAAGCTCTTATTGGTTGGCTCCAAGCGAAGTGTACTGTTATTGGCCGACTCCAACGACAGGACCGCTATCATCGGCTGGCTGCTGGCCAATGAACTTCGAGCAGGTTTGATCTTACCATCTGCCGAGGTTATCGGCATGGAAGTAAGCTGATCCTATCTTGAACTGTGACACTCTTCTTTTCCACTGATCGAACATTCAATTATACTGGGTTATCCTGCTGTTTGCCTTCTCACTTACCGTGTTGTTGACAGCTTGCTTGAGTGACAGGAACTGGATATAATTCAGTACGAGGAAATGGAAGGTGATCGAAAGAAGCGAAGGTGTCGTGGATGGGAAAAGTTGGATACAAACTGAAAAGGACAGAGAAGAAGGGCGGATAGCCCGAAAGGTAGACATGACGCCTGTAACCCTTGTTGTACGCATCGGAAGAACGAAGCGATTAGCGCAACGAGTGTACATGGTATGGATAGTTTGACCGGCGGAGGGGGCATTTTCATAATCCAACCTAGGAACCTTAAGTCGACAAAGATTAACTTGGGGATGGGTACCAAAGTTATAATTGTAGGAAGAAAGAACCAACATACGGTAGTGTAATTCTCAGATTGGCAGATTGTGCACATGGCTGATAGCCATGATTTCACCCAGCGCCAGAGAATTTAGCAAAAAGTAGCACTGTTCAGCAAGTTTCAGCGAAAAGATGTTCGTGACGCGTTTGTGTTTGGAAGGGGGGGGAGGAGGAGAGAGCGTTTCTGCCTATACACATATATGTGGACAAAAGCAAATCTTTTTAGGCACCAGCTACCATAACAATGGTTGAAACAAGGATGGCATAAACAAGCGATAAGTACTGATTAATATTCACGTGGTTGAAGCTGAAGAGAGCCATATCTGTTCCGAAGTGGTCACTCATTTCTACGTTACAAAGTTCGAATGTGCCACATTGCAATAGAGCAATAGTGGATCGTAAGTATCCATAGCTAGGGAAAGAACAATAAATTATGGGAGAACAGAAGGCGTGGTAACATTTCGCTGCTTATTGATTTCCGTTTGTCAGCTAACCAGCGTCAATATATTGGGTCGAAGAGCCCAAGTTGGCCATGTGGGCTGTCAAATTACACCAATTCCGAAATCATCAGCAGAAAAGACGTGTTGAAAACGGAAAATATAGAGCTAGAAGACATAGGTCTGTGTTGCTACGTCGATATGTTATCGGGCACGTACGTGGAATAACGTCATTTATAACCGCGCAATATCAACTCCATTCGGCTGTAAGACTTCCTACCTAGGTGTGATATGCTCTCGAAACCTGTGATCTGCAAAGTGAAAGTGTGCAAAACAGCTGAACAGCAGGTTATTGACGGAGTGAGAAATATGAGTGGTGTCATGGGTTGCATCACAACATAACCTGAGGTAATAGCAATAGCTTAGTTAAAAACGCACAGTAGAGTTACTGAGTAATTGCAGGTCTATCGTAGATGCTATTTCACATCCATGTGCCTAAATTGCCTATGAACCAACTAAAGCACCATATGTGCAACCATCAACGAATAAATTATCTAATAGAATAGTTTACACGTTAAAGCATTGCAAAAAAATAAGACTAGAAAGAAGCGACGCACACACGCAGATTACAGATTGTCTATGTGCAGCAATGAGCGTCAGGATGGACGAAAAATCTCTTGGAAGACAGAACATATGTACACCCAGAACGCATCGGCGATTAAACACAGAAGATAAAGGATGTTAGACGCACAAATAAAGCACTCAACTCCGGGAGAAATGAAAGTATGAGTAGTGACTGTCTTGTCATCACCATCGGAAACGAAGCATAAGCCAACAAATGAAGAAAAAGAGGACAGCAAAGCAGAGTAAATAGCAATAGAGACCGGCGCTAGATCCGTGTTTACCCAGGCCGAGGACGCGAGACATAGTCGAGCGTAGAATCCCCTCCGATCGATCAAATGCGCCAGCCATTCCACTTAGAAGAGAATTTTGCTCCCGTAGTTCATCGCCAATCCGGATGGATAAACTTCGAAGGTTCGAAACCTTTTGCGTTAGTTCTTGGCTCAGCTGTTCATGAGCATCCTCTAAACCATCTGATTTATGCTCGGCAGCAGAGTAGTGATATCGATGACCAACGAGTCCGGGATATTGCGGACCGACGGTAGGCTGAGGTCGCATCGGAATTTAATCTGAAGAGAAAGTCGACAATTAGGGATCTTATCCAAATGCACGTTAAATAACGCACAACAGTGCCGACTATTTCGGAAAGGTCAGAGTAGGACATGAAGCTTGGTATATCCGCTGGTAAAAAATTAGGTGGCTGTTGTGAAAACCGATTTGCAGTAGCAATGAAACATTTTGATCGAAATAAAGCAAAAGACGATAAAAACCAGTCACAAAGTACAGAATAAGAATAAAGAATTGTAAAAAAGCTTAAGACTTGTAAAAGTGGCACATGAGAGGCCAGAAAAGGAAATGGATCACTAGGTTTCGGCTGGGAGTGGACCTCCACCCAGTCAGGCGAATTCCCACTGTCCTGCGATCAAGCTTTGAGTTATAGGCTTTAGTTAAGTACCTGGATCGCTCATATGCCTAACTTTGGGTGCCCGGGTAGTGTACTACCCGCGTAGGGGTGAGCGTCCTCGCCGTATACTCAGCCCGCGCGCGACTGGTGGTCGCGCGGCAGCGAAGCGCCGTTACGGCGTACAGCTGACACATCATCATCATGGTAGTGTCCTAGCTCACGAAAAATTATGAACTTATCATCAACATCCCGTTGCATCCTAGACCGGTTTTCGCAGTTTCAAAAGTACTGCCAAAGCTGCTGAACACTTCAAGGTGGATAGGTGAAAAGATGATGCTGCTGATGCTTCTCTTCTTTCACATTTTTTACATCTGTTTCTTATGTTCCTCTTTAGACACCAGTAGTAGCATTCCATCTACAATTCCAAAGATAATCGGCGGTAGCGAGTGCCATTAGAGGTCGAGCAGCTGCGGCTATATTCACACACTGCGCAATGATCTCCTCTCATCGATGGCTAATTACCAAGCGCCACTTCCTGTTTCTCTGGGGCCATCCTATGTCTGTATCCTAAGCCAACAGGTTGCACTTGAATGCATAACAAATACTAAGAGTTGATGTGTGCTGCGAATCCGAAACTGGGATAAATGACCCATTTACAAGTGTTGAGCTAACTGTACTGAACCTGACTCTCCACGCTATTGCCTGAATCGATCCAGAGGAAATGTGTCATCTGTCACAGGTCAAACTAGGATGAGTATCGTTCTCGAATCAAGGGTGGAGCTATTAGTGGCTAACTGAAGTTCTGTTAGCAGCATTTATGTGCAGTCCATTTGACAGGCTGGCTTGCCGAACAACCTATTCATGATACCAGCTGGATGGATCGGGATAACCCCCTTCCAGCGAGTGGTTTGGCAGCAATGTTATAGAACGTGGTTCGTTTTCAGGGGCCAGGCGTTCCCATAAAAAACCACAAATGTTTGATTAACAACACGACTCGGCGGATGTGACCCGCTACTAAGTGAATTGGCTGTCCCTTGCTCCGTTTCGGTGATGCATTGTATCCCAATAGCTGGACGCTGAAGTTGTATGGAGGATCGGGTTTCTGTAGTCTAACCGATCGGTCGTTAAAGCCGCAATTTACCTTATATCGCCAGCTGCCTTGCGTTTAAGCTGTTACGCCAAGGGCTCTGAGTGGTGACCCTCCCATAATACAACTTCGGCTTGGACGAAAACATAGGTTCTACAACCACTACTATGTCGTTCTCTTTTGCACTTGGATACTTCATGGCTCACGCACCGCAATCACACACCAGACCAACTTCGTTAGTGCTCGTTTCTTTGAATCGACTTCCGATGCCAAAAGAGCCCGGTCAGTAACCCACCTTCGGCCATGATCTTCATTCCGGTTGGCGACTTCTAAAGTACGAATTCACATACAGAGTAGACAGCAGACCAGCCTAAGGCGCACTCTGGGGTCCGTCGTCATAGACATTTGCTGGTTCTCCGAGACTCGACTGTGAGATTCCAGAACCGTTTAAGTTGACATTAGTGATCCAAGAAGAAAACACTTCCTGTGTCTGTCCATTGTTACAGAAACTGATGCAGCTGGTGTGGCTGGTGTTGGCGTCGTTTTGAGTGACAAGGTTGAGGACGCACTGCTGGACTTGCTCCATACTGAAAGTAACCTGTGTGTAGGTAGATGCCACAGCGCATGCAGAACCAACAAACATAACGGAGAGAGACGCAACTTTCTGCCCGAAGCTTTTGTGTCAAAAACGAAACGTCGTGCACCCAACATACACATTACCCGGTCGATCACCAAGCCCTGTGAAACGCTGATTTCCCGATCGGTTCCAAACATATTCCAAGATATCATGAGGCGCAACTTATTTGCGCTCGCCTCCTACACTCCGACCGACTGAAGATGAGCATGGGTAAAGGACGGCGTTTATTGCCAACATCACCAGCTTTTGAGCCAAGTCGAAAAATCAGATATCGTTACCGTTGCCAGGGACGGATCGGTCATTTGATGCCATGTGAACATTGATTTCGGGGCCGTTGCGCTCCTAATATAAGCCCCTATGATAACATAGATACTTTCCTCACGTTTCGAGAGGAAAAGCGCCCTTTTCTCTCGGGTATGAACTCGTAGTGTACGACTAGACGTTCATCTACTTAGTGTTCATCGTCACTAACACAAATCCGGTAAAACAGATTACATTGCAATCAGTTTGGTCGCTTTGGTCCACATATTTCGCTTCAGACGCCCTGGTCCGTGTGGACATTTATATGCACATGAGATTCCTCAAAACCAAAGTACTGTATGCTCGATATCAACAGACTCATGGATATCTTCATTTAATTGGTTTATCAATCTTATTTAACAGATATGTTCACTAGTGCTCCGCCTCAAGACGTTGAGTAACACAGGAGTTTCTTACAGAAAGCTATATACATCCGATCTGCAAAAACCACTTGCGCCTTCTGACGGGCTGGATCTCCGCTCGCTCATCAGAATTGTCTTACCGGCACCAAGCCGTACCACCTGAATCAAATAGCAGCAAAGTACGCCGGGACCTCAACCAGCAACTCAAGCAAAGCTTGCGTAATGATCGCGAAAATTGGTGGGCTTATGACACTTCAGAGATGGAGACCGCCACACTCTCTATAAACTTCCGAAAGCTCTTCCAGATCATCCGAATCACTGGCCACAGAAGGCCTGGCTTTAGTGAGGCTAATTAAGAGGTTGATAGATCACGAATCGCCAACTTGAGTACGCGCACGGACCAGTGAGTAAGTACACTCACAATTCGATTGGTACTCACCGTCAACTTCGCTAACAACCATACATAGTTACGCACCTTGGAATGTCACGGAAATCGCCACTGGGGCGGAGATTTGTCGTAAGCTTGGACAACTGAAACGACTCAAAACTGCCGACTCATATAAGCCTTTTCCGGAGCTGTTCGAGCACAGCGGCGAGGTAGTGATCAACCGAATAACAGCTCTGCTGTCCAAGATTTGATGTGAATAAAAAATTCCAAGTTCTTGGGTCGAGTCCATTATCATCCCGATCCTCAAGAAAGAATGCGCATAAGGCCAAGTGCCTCTGAATTGTTAGCATCCATTCCACCCCTCTGACTAATTCGCTGTGAAAACTACGCTATCGTGAAGAAAAGGCTGGTTTCCGCCGCGGTAAAAAGTGTGTAGAGAACACGTTTAAGCTTCACCAACTCTTTGAGCATCGTCACGTCTGCGGCCGGTCCACTACTGTCGCCGTTCTGGACGTTTGGTTTGCTTCCGACTCGATCAAGCGGCCTTTTTTATGGTATTGCTCGCAAAAGAACGGGGCATTGGAAAGGCATATCTCAAATGTTCGAGCGTGCGACTTCAATGTACGTGGGAGAGTAAGGGTCCACGAGAAGCTCACTTTACCTTTTGCTGGCGTCAACGGTGCACTGTTCCGGTTGTTGCTCAATTTTGTGACTGAGGATGAACTACTGAGCGCCCTGGAGGGCCTTCAAGGTTCTGGCGTAGGGCTTCTTCCGAACAATCGCGCAACAAACTTAGACTACGTTAATAATATAGCTTAACTTGGTGACAACCCTTCGAATATGCAACTTATTCCATGAAGCAACTAAGTGTGGTATGACCGTCCACTAAAAATCTAAAGCTCTGTTCTAGGATTGACACTTATCTGTCCCGGTAAGGAGCTAAAAAAAGTGGAAAGCATTGTTTACCTGGCGAGTTGAGTTTCCACTGAAGGCACCATAGAAAGAGAGATTTGTCTTTGCACTGCCAAAGCGCGAGTAGTGTTCACCAGTCTGATGCATCTGCGGCGTTGTCGAGATATTTCACTATAGGTATAGAGCAGTGTCTACAATGGCTGTGTGCACACAGTGCTGTTGTACGGGAATAAATCCTGGCCGATTCGTGTGAATGACATGCATCAGATTTCGGCCTTTAACAACGGGAGTTTGCGGAGGATAGCCCGCGGGAAGCAGGAACCTTACATATGTAACGACGATGCTAGACGTCGCGTCTTAGATAATATGGGTTTACCCTTCGACCGACTAGTACGGCTGAAGCAATTGTGATGGTCTTGTCAAGTCCTACGAATGCCGTGCGAGATTACCACGACGCGCTTTATTCGCTCTCGTAGGGTCGCAACAGAAGACATTGCGCAGCGGTCAGTCTATCACATGACGATAAAACGCCAAAGCATCATCATCGTACATTAGTTGGAGACGAGAAGCACACTGCAGCCATTATGCTGCAATACAAGAGATAAGATATATGAAAAAGCGAGATAATAAAAAGTGCAGAATGCAAAAACTAGAAAAACAAGCAATATAGTGATAATTGTAATATTATCCATGCGGTGTGAGATCGTTGTTGGAGGGGAAAGGTAAGCGGAATGGGGAGAAAGAAAGAAACTCACAACTTAAATGCCACTGAGGTCGACGCCTAGCCAACAACAAATGTATCCAAACAAATGTGTGCAGCTTCCTCCGGACCACAGCCCGGCAGTCGATAGACACCAACCGACGCCAACTATGTTGTGAAGGACTTCATTCCTATTGACCAGGTCATCGCTTGGCCTCCCTTCCTCTTCCCTCATCTAGACTCCGGTCGCGCAAACATCGCACGTCGT